CCCACCCACCCATCCATCCACCCATCCATTTATCTGCCCCTCCATAAATCCATCCATCCATCCATCCATCCATTCATCCACACACCTAGCCATCCACCCACCTAACTATCCTTCCATCCATCCACCCATTCATCCATCCATCCATCCATCCATCCATCCATCCATCCATCCATCCACATACCTAGCCATCCATCCACCTAACCATCCATCCATCCATCCATCCATCCATCCATCCATCCATCCATCCATCCATCCATCCATCCATCCATAAATTTGTCCATCCATCTACCCATCCATCCATCCATCTACCCATTCATCCATCCATCCATCCATCCATCCACCCATCCATCCATCCATCCACCCATCCACTCATGCACCCATCCATTCACTCATTATCCCTAAATCTATCCATCCGTTCATCCCTCCATTCTTCCATTCATCCATCCATCCATCCATCCATCCATAAATTTATCCATCCATCCATCCACCCACTCACTCATCCATCTATCCATTCATGCTTCTACCCACCCACCTGCACATACATACATACATACACACACCCATCCATTCATCATCCTTAATCCATTCATCCCTCAGTTCATCTATCCATCCATTTATCCTTCAACCCCTCCATTCATCCATTTATCCATTCATGCATCCATCCATCTACCTATCCATAAATCCATCCATCCATCCATGCATCTATCCATCCATCCATCCACCCACCCATCCATCCATTCATCCATCCACCTATCCATAAATCCATCTGCCTATCCATCTGTCCACTCACCCATCCATCTACCTATCTATCATCCATCCATCCATTCATACACTGTCCACTCATCCACCCATAAATTCACTCATCCATCCACCCGCCCACCTATACACCCATCCAGGAGATAGGTGTTAAACACCTGTTGCATATCAGTCAGAGTTCCTGGACAAAGAGGGTAGTAGTACACAAGACCAAGTTTTTGCTCACATGGAGTTTACAGTCCAGTTGGCTGCCTCTCTTGGACTGAGAACCCCTGGGGTGGGAATATGCCTGCTTTGCAGAGGGGCTTGGCTCCCAGCAGGTCTTCAGCAAGGGGACAACTGACTGACCTGAAGCCAGGGCTCAGAGGCAAGCACCCACCTCCGCTGGGCTGGTCCTGGCAGCCCCTCCCCACCAGGCCCTAGGGGAAATGTGGTTGTCCCCTTCACCCTTAAAGCCCTGAGAACAGCACTGCCTGACCCAGCTGGCCTTCTTCTGGAGTCCAGTCCAGAAGTGAGTGAGGCCGTGAGGTATGTCTGAGCCTAATATTAATAGAAGGGGGACAAATGTGCCCAGCCCAGGGCCAGGGACTGCAATAAAGTCAGACTTTGACCCAACCATGGCCTTGGCTCACAGTCCAGACTTCTGTGTCTCATCTCACCCCACAGCGCTGTGCCCCTGCACCCTCTCTCCCCCATGCAAAACCTAAGTCCCCGTCACTGCCCCCTCCACAGCCAGGCTCCCCTCTCCGGGTTCAGAGAGACTTTTCCAAATCCATCTTTCAGATCTTTTCAATCGTCCTTTGTTCTTTGAGCTGCTTTGCCTCGGTGCAATTTGCATCTGAAAGGCATGACAGCCTGTGCTCCTTAAGTGACTTGGGAGGGAGAGTTGTGCTCTGCCAGAGGAAAGTGGCAACTTTGGTTCATTCGTCTGAGGCCCAGATTGACAGCCCTGCTTTGGTTTTGCCTTTTTTGGAAGAATGGCTGCGAAGTCTGAGGAAAGTAAAGGCGAGCCCTTCGGCAGGGAGGGAAGCATTCCTCCCTTATTTTACATCAAGGCTGTAGGACCCAGGGGCCAGAGATGCAGCCTGGTAGATGGGTGTCCTGGGATATGAGAGCATCCATCCCTCTGCCTGGGCCCAGACTTGTAGTGGAGCTGTCCCTGAGGCTCCAGCCTTCAATTCTTGAAGAGTCAACAAGGCTGGAGACAATGGTACCAGGTCTACTAGGGCTCAGTGATTTCAGGTCCGGGCCTAACTCTGCTGAGGCACTGCCTAACCTTAACTGCCCAGGCACCAGCCTGACCTTGACT